ATGTATGCATTAAACTCATAATCATCAAATCAATATCAGTGGATTTTATCCTCTATCCTGGGAAAAAATAAACAAACAAAAATAAAGTAAATAAACAAACAAAAAACAAATCAAAAACAAAAACAAACAAAAATAAAAACAAACAAAAACTATTGGACACACAAGAACTCAGCAGATTCAGTCAAAACACAGACAAAAACGAGCTGAGTCTCAATTTTGAAGCTAATTTCACTTTTATTGCTCTATACTTTTATTCTAATGACAATTGTTTATACTTCACTTATTTCACTGTATTATTTTCACTTTTCAATCTTAGACTGTGTACTTTACTTTCACTATTCACTATAGTTTAAAACTATTCTAATCTATTCACAAATATGTTTGCATATTTGCTTCTATTGAGCCATATTCTTGAACATACATTTTAATCTAACAAATCTCTCTGTGGTTTATACTCTCATTATCAGTGGCATATTATCAGTGGGATTTTGCTCCATGTCTATTCTCATTCTCAGGAATAAAACTGTGAACACAGTTAGACAAATGGTCAACATTTACACTTCTATAGTGGTCAGTGATTTATTACTTTTCATTATCTAAAGATATTATTGTCAGGCAGTTTGGGATGAATGTACATCATTAATCAAATTAGTATTATCATTACAAGAGCTAATCTATTTTAGCAGGTTTGGGGTTGGGGTCAGTTATTCTACAATGGTGTTTGTGCTGGAAACTTCTCAAAGATATCCAAATATCTACTATTGTGTTTTTGTGCTACACCCAAATGCATCAAAATGCTTTTGAATCTCTGTTGGTTCTAATCTATTTCATTGATCTAGGCATTAATCTAGGCTACACTCATATGAACTTTTTGTATTGTCAACATTCACTCATGTTTGAACACAAGTGAATTTGGAAGGTATCTAATAAAACTGTACATAAAACTGTAAGTAACTTTATCTACTTTTGAAGTAAATGCTTGTGAAATGGTCCCTTTACCATTTGATATTAGCACTGGCTACAAATAATCTCTATTTTTGAAAGCATCTATGGTTGATGCATTTATCTATTCCTCTATTTTTACTCTATTTTTTAACTCAAAAGCTCGGCTGCAGCTTGAGCAAAGGCATATTTCTAGTTTGTGACTTCTGTCACTTTTAATGGCTGTAACATAACTCTGATTCTAATATTTTAGCTGATCTATCAAAAGGATAACATTGTAGGGTACTATTTTAACTCTTACGTGGAAATATGTTTATGAACAACAAAGGAAGTCAAATTCTACTCTTTTACTACTATTTAACATCTACTAAAACGCTACAATACTCATACTTTATCATTTTCAAAGTTTTTGTCTGTCAGATGTCTGAATACTTAACATTTATATTGCATTTGGTCACAGGTTCTGGTTGTAGCAATAGCATCGGCAATAGACGTTTTCATTGGCTGGTTCTTGTTCTGCAAATGGCTGTGTCCAATAGATCATCAGATGTCCAGAAGCTAGGGACAAACAAAAACAAAAGAAAGAATCATGAGTATCTCTCTCATTTAGCACTCATCAATGTATGATTTCAAAAATATAAACATCACTCCCCAGTTTTCTCTCTCAGGTCCTCAGGTCCTCAGGTCCTCAGGTCCTCAGATCCTCAGATTGAGTCTCAGTCGTCATCAGGTCAGGTCATATTTCGAGAGATGTCATCTTGGACATCAGTAGGGTCCAAGCCATGGTTTTGGTCTCTCCAGTTGGACATCGGATCTCCAGATACAGTCTTTTCACTTGAAGCACATCAGGTCATTTGCGATGCACTTCTGGTCAATGGTGCAGTGTCTCAGTTCCTGTACACAGCTTGTAATGCAATAGTTACTCTCTATGGTTAAATCACTTTGATTCTACTTTAACACAATTTCTATTCATGCTGTTGCTAATGTCCCTTAGACAAAAAGCAAGCGCAATTTCAGTTTACTTCTCTAATTTGTGTTTTTATCAGATCTAATTCTCATCAATGTAATTACTTCACACAGTACAAAATCAACAAATCAAAAGTGTCAGGACAGACGTCAATTAAGTCCATGACAATATAGAATTCAAATGAACATTTCTGGTCTCAAAAAATACTGATTCAACTAAAGATTCAAGTGATAGACAATTAAAAATATGTGTTTACATTGGAGTAAACTTTTAAAATGCTTTTTTCATGTTCTACTTTTTCATGTATCTATATGTAAATGTGAATGTGTGAGTGTATGTGTGTGTGTATATGAATTTTGGGGTTGTCTCTCCAGACTCCACGAACCACCTGTAGGTCTCAAAGGTCACACTGTGGTGATGTAAACCACGTAGACACACTTTCAACTCCCTCTAGGTCTCTACCTGACGCTCCACCCATCACGTCTCCAGAAACCTCTCTCTACCCCGGTCTCTCTCACACCCACTCATCTCTGGAGTGGCGTGGGGAGGGGCAAGGAGGTGGGCATTTTCCTTTGCTCTTTGATCTGTGACCTGTGGCTGGGTGGGCTTTGCGCTGTCCAGTGTCCAGCAGTGACCTCTCGTACAGTGAGTCTGAAAAACAATCCTTGAAACAATAGATATCAGTATGCGAATGAGATTGTTTTTCTCTCTGAAGTCAAAACAATTTTGAGATTACTTATTATCTTACTAATGATGACATTTTTAAGACCAGAAACTAAAGAAGTTATCAAAACAACAATTATACTCAAAACAAACAACCTTTTAAACTTTAAAACATGTATTATATACTTTTGTACTGTGTGATGTTTTTAATCTTGAACATCTTGGGTTTCACTTTATGGACTTTCCCTTTTACACTTATTTATCTCAGCATCTATTCTACTAATTTAAAATAATTGCAGCATTTTTCAAATGAAGTCAGTATGAATTGGAGCACATTTTAGACCAGTCTCCTCTGCTGTGGCATCAGCAGGAGCAACAAGGTCAGGCGTGTAGTCAAAACAAAAACAAAAGTCACCACTTGCATGTGAATTGGGTAGTTTAACTTAATAATATAATACTTTTACAGCCTAATTCCCTCTTTCTTTTTTAGACGAAGTCTACAATCATTAATCACTTTTAACAGATTCTAATTTAAATGTTTGAAAAACGGCTTTTGTAACTAAAATAAAAAATACATGAAAAAATTCTCACAAACAGCTATGAAATATATCAGAGATACAATAATGGACTCACAAAATAAGGCAGCAGATTTAAAAAGAAAAGCAAAGCTTTTTGTACTAATCTTTGGGTTTCAAAAACATACTAATTCAAAACTTCTATTCCCTAATGGTGTTTAAAAACGTTTAACTGTGTCTAACACAATGTTCAAATGCAAATTTAGCAAATTTAACGGAATAACTACTATGAAAAGCCAAATTCCTAAAGCAGTAGCTTTGCTTCAGATTCACAGCCAGAGCAGCGAAGGAGGGGGCCGTTTCCCTGACAACGGCAGCAGATAGAGCGACGCACACACACAGGCAAAAAGATACAGAAGAATAACTTTCAAGATTACTTTGTTAAGCGAATATAACTGATGTTGTTCTTTATACTTTTGTCATCCAAATCTAGAAGTGATCACTTTCCACACTAGTAACAAAAGGCACTCTTTAGTGTTTAAACGTTTCCCTTTTTATAATTACTTTTAATTCTACACCATGGTTTCTATCAAAGGGACTTTAACCCTGAAGCTTCTTCTCAAAGGGACTTTAACCCCGAGGCTTTTCTCAAAGGGACTTTAACCCCGAGACTTTCTCAAAGGGACTTTAACCCCGAGGCTCAAAGGGACTTTAACCCCCGAGACTTTCTCAAAGGGACTTTAACCCCGAGGCTCAAAGGGACTTTAACCCCGAGACTTCTTCAAAATACAATTTAGAGAGTTTGACAGACCCCAAAAAACAGACCAAAATTTAGCTAATATCCAATTATGCAGACTTTACATATTAAAAAAGGTGTCTGCTTACCTTATTCTTGTCAAACCGGTTCTAAGGACTGTCCGAGAGGTCTGCCAACTCTTTTCCGCGTCGGAATATTCAATTTAAAAAACAAAACAGAGAAAGTGAGGGAGCAAGAGCAAGCCCATCCAAAAGCGAGCCCTTTCAGCGTCCGCTGGGATTTCTCCCCTTCCAGATAACGTGCTGTTGCTCCCACACGCCGAAAAAAAGAAACAGGGAAAACTCCCTCAAAACAATCCAGAGAATGGCACACACTGAGCCGCGCATTCTCCACCAAATCTGTTAGGATTTAAGCAGACAGAGACGGATCGTGGTGTGCCAAACTCTGGAAGTTTATTTACGTTTCTCTCAAGTTCCATTGTTTTACTCTGTTTCTTTCTCTCAGACAGAATAAAGGCAGTACACAGTTTATATAGTCATTGTCACGTCACACATCGAAAGACATACGTGTCACAAAGAGACAGTCACATCAGAGTCATAACATGGAGTCCTTGTAGAGTCCTTGTACAGTCCTGCACGTAGGCCATATTGCTATCTAATACTAATACCTGTTAAACTGCTTTGGAGTTCGAAACTCACACACAACACACACAAGGCATTGAAATAATAAAAAAACATTAAAACAGTACAGTACATTAAAAAGAAAGATACAAATATTAAATCCTTCAGTCTAACTGTGCGTTAATAACACTTAAATTCTTATTTTCAATATTTCTCACTTGAATTATAATTTTCTGGTTTGAGTAACCCTTTCCTTCTGTGAGCATAATTTTGCAGCAAAGTAGCAAAAAATGTCAAATCTTTCCATGGTCACTCAGCTATGTGATGCTTTTCACTGCCCAATCAGATGTCTGCAAAACATTATACAAGTAGGAACAGAATGTTACACTACACTTTAACTTTCTTGAATGGGAAGTTCTGTTGGCTGACCTGCTGTTGTGGGTGTGTCCCTGAGTGTTCAAGACAATACCGGTGTATTTTTCTGTCCGAGTGGCAGTTTATGAAAACGTCTTTCACTAGAGGAGTTAATCTACAACATGCCACCAAAGATAAGTAAGTGTCTCTTTTTACAATATTTATTATGGTTGTAAGCCCTGTGCAATGTCCTCAGTCTGGATTGTAACAGGCCATTTTAATGGAGCCTTATAACATTTCCATACATTATTTATTTATTTATTTAATATTCATCAAGACAGGATTATACCATTATATCCTAAGTATACAAGTTCTATATATACAATGTCCAAATGAGCTGAATCAAATATGTTTTTAATTATTTCAAAATACTTAACCTACCAAGCAAAATCGGTTTGTATCAACACCATAGATTGACAACAATTGGATAATTTTGTTCGACCGTTTTTTGTTCAATGGTTCAGTTTTAGTTTCTACACATGCACAGTACAAACAGATATGGATCAAAGGCACGTGGAGGAGGCTCTGCAAGGAAAACCGGTTTTGCCAGTTTAACCCTGCACACACAGTAACTGCCACACATGGAGAAAAAAATGGCAGATATGTTGAACAGATAGGGTTGATTCCCCGGTGAGACATTCAGTTGTCACATCGTCATTTTTATACGCATTTGCATCCTCCAATCTTTCCATAATTAACCATGGTAAACCACAAAATAGCAGACTTATTGTAAAAAGTACTTTACTTTACCTAAAAAAGCAGTACCAAATGCACTACTGCTGCATGTTTAAGTGAGTTTGACTCTTCTTCACTGCAGTTTTGTTTTTTTTGTTTACATGGATGATTCAGAAGAGTTGATTAGAACTATACGGCAAACCACAATATGTCTTCCTTAATAATCGTTCCCTTCTCTTTCAGCTTACAAGAGTCCCCTTTTGGAGGCCGCAGTGGGGTTTGGACTGGGGGCAATTGGAGGCAGTATCCTCGGAGCAACTGAGGATCCAGTTCACCGCTCTCTCTACGCCATGACTGTTCCTGAGCGTATCAAACCTCTTATGGATGAAGCTCGCACTGTGGGTCCCCTGGGGCTCGGAAGTCTGATCGGCGCTACCGCACTGACCACTGCCATGACTTCGGTGGTAGCCGGAGTCATTTTTTCAGCTATTGTGGCTTCCGTTTTTGTTGTTACGAGGAATTGTGGCACAGCTAGCCCAACGAACACAGCTTCACTATGGCTCACTGCTGGACTGGCCGGAGTTTATGGAACCACATTAAGTGGAGCGACTCTTGGATTTGCTGTAGAGTATGTTGTTAATAATTATGGCATGGTTGGTTTGCTATGGCTGTTGAGTTTGTTTACATTGATAAAATTGCCACTTCATTTTATCTTCAAGACAGTGTTTCAAGCAGATATGTGTTGCGGCCTCGGAAGTGTGGTTTGGGCAAAAGAAAAGGAGGAACTAGAAAAAACAGATACAGAGCAACGACAACGTGTTGCTGTGCAAATAGAGCAAAAAATCACAACCCTGGAAAAGGGTGGTAAAACTGGAAGTTTGCAAGAACGTGAGCGATGGGCTATTGAAAAGCGCCAAAGGGAGGTGCTAGAGAAAAAGAGAATTGAAGCAGAAGAAGCTGAAATGGAGCAACGTTCTTTCCAAGACTGGATCAACACAGTAGTTATGAAACATATCGACTTTCTTGCATTTTCCGGTGTCCCAATGACTTTTGTAGCTGTCTTAACTTCCCTAATTGGTGCCTTTGGATATGGTGGGCATCAAATAGTCATGCCAATTATGTTTGCTGTAGTGGCAATCATTGCGTTCTTATTACTCAAAACACATGAGTTTAAATTCTGGATGCTGATTGCATGCATGGGCATGTTTGCCACTTTTGTGGTAGCATTACTGACCATTCACGCTGAGCAAATGGTGGTGAGCGATGCGTTGAAGCTACACAAAATGGGACTCAATCAAACAAAAGTCAAAGTCGAAATACGGATGAACTACCAGGCTTCTGTAGAGGCGTTGAATACTGGATTTTTTGTGGCAAAAGTTTGTCAGCTAGGTTTAGGGGCTACTGTGGGTGGTCCTCTGGTCAGGTATGGTGCAGGAGAAGCCAGGGTTATAATTGGGGCAGCTGGTTTGGGAGGGGTGTTGTTGCTTGGTGTGGAGGTGCTAGCGCCAGTGCTGGGGGAGGGAGGGAAGGCGGGGGCCATGCTGGGGGCAGTAGGAGCAGCAGGGGCTTCAATCGGAGCGGCCGCAGCTCTGGCTGGTCGGTGGTCGACGCGATTTGGGATGGTAGCAACGTTAGCCGGGCTAATGCTTGGAGCGCTAACAGTGGGGGAGTGGCACATAGTGAACATCGGGCTGCAGCTGCCAGTGGCCTACGTCTTTGCCATGACCAACCCTTTCTAATGTGTCGGGTTGATGTTCAGAATGTGGCTCTATGTCCTAAAATTTGGCTTCAGCTAGATAAGAGGGCTGAAAATTGGAGTGATGCGGGCTGGAATCAAATAAGTATTTTCTTCGTCCAACCCCTTTTTGAACCATGTACTTGTTATGTTAAATTGATTTATGTAAAATATGTGGAAAAAAAGAAACAAAGTGCAGGTGGGACCAAACCAGCATTGCTCCTGATTCGCTCTTTGGCTGCTAGGTCATTGCAAACTACAAATTCGGCTTCAGAATCCCGCCTATGAGTTTGCGTTAACCTAGTTTGGCCTTAGCCATCTGTTAACGCCAGTCAATTATCATTTATTACACTGGGTAACAAAAAAATATTTTTTGAAAATAGTCCAGGGTTTTCCAGCTGAATTCGAGTCCGAAAATGACCTTGGTTTTGCTCAATCAGGTCAGGATTTTTTGCTACAGAAATATTTTTTTAAATCGATTTTGGGTAAAAAAAAACAAATTTCTGCGGATCATCAGCTGAGAAACCCTTGACGTTTTTTCCGTTTTCCTCAAGAAATAAAAGTCAACGTATCCAAAGTCATTCAGTTTTTATTTACTCCATCAAATTTGATAAACAGAATTCATAATAACGTAGACGTACGTAATCCGTAACACTATGGCTGTATCTCAAAAAGTTGACCTGATAGAGCAAAATGCATGTGATATTCGGACTCAGAACACCAAAATTAGTCTAAATCAGTTGAGAAACCCCTGACCATTTTTTGGCTGTCAACTTGTGTTATCAGTTCCTCAGTACGAAATGTAATGAGTACAATGGTGTGGTAAGACCAGGCTAGCGCTAACCAGCTTCCTCCACAAGAAGACATATGTAATGTCAGTACTCTTATCAATGTTCAAAGGTTTGAAAAAGATATAAGAAAAATATGCAATTAGGAAAAAATAACAATTAAAGAAGTAATATTTTCATGTCAAGTCATCATTAAATGTAAAAAGGTATTAATAAAGAAGTATTTGAAAAGAGCATCTTTATCTAATTAAAAAGGTTCAGCCGAGATATTCAAATTCCAAAATGGGATTTACAGCCCCATTTCAAAGGTGGAGGGTGTCCAGCCCCCCGTTTTACCAATCAGAAAGTCTGTGATCCGGGTTGCCAGAACTCCCCGGGTTGAGCTAATCTCACAGGTAAAGTAACATGAGTCCCAAGAACTAAAAAGGATTCTCAAATCATTAACAACCAAACAAGGAATAAAACCAGGAATTCTATCGTGGCCTTTGTGAAAAATGTGTTGGCTATAGATCTTGTTGACAAAACTCTTGTCTATTCAGCTATTATGATCCCAAGCTGGATTCGTCTGCATACCTGGCAAACTGAGTCAGGGAGAGTTTGCAGTACCACTTTTTTAAAATATTGCTCCTTTAAGATTCTCCCAACTTTACTTTTACTTTGTATTGATGGTTATGTAAGATGCTTATATTATTTTTTAATTATTGAATTACACATAAAAAGTTGTGTTACCTCATGTTCAACTGGCAACCAATATTATAAAACCTTTATTACTCGATAGATTGTTTACACAACACAGGGAGGGGAGAGGGTGATGATGGGTGTCCTTTAAAAATTTAATTAAATTAAAATATATAGGTGTTTTGAATCTATTCATGTTTTTGCCATTTTTGGTGCTTTTATGATGAAATTGTAATTAATTTAGTCAACTATTTTTTTATTAGTATTCACATACTTTTTTCATGAAACAAACTTGATATAGATTTTTTTTTGTTCGAAAATATAAAAGGACTATTTTCTTGAATGCGTTTGTTTGTATTGGCTGAAAATGTTGTATTTCTTGGCTAATAAAAATGACTTTTTCATTAACAGTTGTTTTGTGGGTTCCATATTTTTAGAGAGCATGTGAAAATAGATAAATCGAGATCAATAAACACTATAATGTGTAAAATAATAATACATTTTCAGTGACCTATATTCTTATAAAGGCTATTTGTGGTATAACGTAGAGAACTCTCTTCAGCTTTGCTGAAACATGAAAACAATTGTTCGTCATCTTTATTTCTTGGGAAAGGAATCTGAGTTTCATATGGGCACAAATAATTGTCCATTAGCTTGTGAGATCAATAAAGTATATATTCTTCTTATCCTATATCTAATATAAATTTCCAAAATATAAAGATGAAAATAATATCTGTTAAGATTTGGGTCCACATTAGATAAAGTCATGGATCTATAATAAAAACGGATAAAGTACAAACACTGGAACAGTAGTGCATACCTTTGTCACCTGCTCAAACCAGGAAGTGAACAAGCTGCTGCCGAACCAGGAAGTGCAGTCACAGTGCAGTCCATGGATGTATTATATTAACTGGATAGGGTATTACTAGCTTGTAGCTGAATAACTCACGTGCTCAGGGGATTCTCGCGGTACTGCAGACTGAACCAGACTAAATTCACGTGGGCCACCCAGAAATTTTCCCCATAGAACTCAATGCATATTAAAACAGCTCGACCTCAGCTGACAGAGAACCTACAGCTTTAATAAAGATCGGATTTTGTGGGGATTTTAGTGTCCCTTGTCATCCTGAACTTTTTTTCTTCTTAAATCCTTTGGTTTTGTTTAAATCCACACTTTAGTGCCACAAACTCTGCTCGTCTGGCTCTCGCTCTAACTCCCGCTCTGAGGAACTGCTCTGATTGGTCAGAGCGCGGCCGAGCCCCTCTGTGCACGTGCGTGAGACCCGGTGTGAGACCCACACACGCGTGTTTGGCGCAACGCATTATGGGAGATCATCCACTGCGCAGAACCGGGAGGACCAGACTATGCCCAAATACAGGCGAGTTTCCCATAGATCTTTGCGAGTTTCAGGCAACTTCCGCTAATCTTTCAGCCCCCATGCCGTCACAAAGCGCCACTGAGCACAACCATTCATTTGAATAGGGCGCCATCTTGGATCGCCGGGGCTTGGTGCAGTCATGTGCTTGTGTTTGGAGACTAGCTCATCTTGTTTTGTCTGTAATGCACTGTGTGGACTGGAGAGCAGATAAAATACAGGTGAGACTATTCCAGACATTTACTTTGTTAAAAGTAACTTCTACATACTTGCGCTCTCTATAAGGAAAAGTCAAGTCAAATGACATTGCAGGATCAAATGTGTCTTACAGTATTCATAACTTGGGTTTATGTTTGATGCCTATGTTTTCTTATAGAGATGTTTAGTTTGTGTCCAGGTTTTTTTTTGTTTCAGTCATCAATATTTTCCTTGTATAGTACAAAAATGCCATGGTAATCTGTCATCTAAATCCATTTACTAATAGTCACAGAAAAAAAAATATGTAGCGTTTGCATATTTTTCTGGTTTGGGCTCTGGAAGTGGAAAGTTGGCCAGGTCTCCACAATTTGTTTTAAATATTATATAATATATATCATAGGTGACTTCAATGAATGCCTTTGGGATCACTTTTCATTCACTTAGTTATCCAGCCAACGGGGTATTGTAATCGTCTCTGTGTGTTTGTCTGTGGTGCTGGCTGGGAATGTGACTATGGATCTATTATAATATCATGCAATCCAGGAGGGCACCTTTTTTATTTGTACAGTTTAGCATCCCTGAGTCTGCATGACATTGACAAAACACCATGACAAATATGATTTTTTTTTGACTAAAATATGGTACTTTTAGGACGACGAAATTGCATGGATACATTCTTGTCAAACCTACTTGAAAGATGACTATTGCATAACTAAATCTACTTCAAGATTGTCTTTTTATACTTGTGGTGTTGCTGTTACTACAGGTACAGCTACAATAGAATACTGAATTGTGAATGTGAAATAGTTAAAACAATATCAGAATGAATAGATTACTTTTTTAAACTTAGAGGGGAATATTTAAAGCTTTTATTTATTGTATTTTATTATGCTTATGGTTTTACAGACAAAGAATATTGCTTTATTAATTAATTTTCCAATTTTTTTGGTATCATTTTCCATAATAAATGAATGGTCAAAAATAGTTTTAAATTGTACACGTTTGCACTGGTTCGCAGACATGTTCGGACCCATGTCTCTCCTCTCCCTCTTCGCTCTGGTCCAGTCCAATGACAACGGTTTGGCGCTGACTCCTCCGATGGGCTGGATGGCCTGGGAGCGCTTCAGATGTGACACCGACTGCCAAGAAGACCCTGAAAACTGCATCAGGTGTGACTAGTAGCTTTGAATATATAAGGCCACAAGTAATGAAAGTGAATCCAACATATATCTAGACACCTTCAAGATCATGTCACAAAGGTAAAGAGGCTGTCCTGATCTACATGCAGAAACACAACATTGGTCAGAGTGACACTTAGAGTTTAATCCACAAGGGGAAATACGTAGACACTAGCTCAGAAAACAAATTAAAATGGCAGAAAGTTGTCAAAAACCAAATAGGGAAAAAAAAAAAATTGTTTGTTTGCTTTTTGATTTGACATTTGTTCCTGCTGATAAGAAGGCCTGCTTATATGTGCTTATAGTTTGATAGTGAGTCAGTTATACACCCATGCTGGTACAGTTGCAAGGCCTCTAAATGCAATATCATTATTTTTCAAACATCATTTCAACTCACAAAGCTGAATTTGGTTCCCTTGGTGTCCACAGCGAGGTGCTGTTCCGGGACATGGCAGACCGTCTGTATGAGGACGGCTGGAGAGAGCTGGGCTACGAGTATGTGATCATTGATGACTGCTGGATGTCCAAAGCCCGGGACCAGGACGGCCGACTGCAGCCCGACCCCGACAGGTGCTAATAGACTATGGAGAGAGCAGGATAGGATACACTAGAGGACAGTAAAGAATGCAATATTGACAGGCCAATTTTTAAAAGAGCAGCGTTATTATCGGTCAATATGAGAATTTTGAGGCCCGAGGCTCAGTATGTCTTTAAAGTGAAGTGGTAGAATTAAATTCTATCAAGCAAAATGAAATGAAGCTACATGTCCCCTTCTTCACAGATTTCCATCTGGAATCGCCCGTCTTGCAGAGTACGTCCACAGCCGGGGTCTGAAGTTGGGAATATACGCAGACATGGGCCGCTATACATGCATGGGCTTCCCCGGAACCACCCTGGATCGGATCAAGACCGACGCTCAGACTTTTGCTGACTGGGGCGTAGACTATCTCAAGTTCGATGGCTGCAGCTCAAACCCCCTGGAGCAGATGTTGGGTACAAGCGTTACAGATTTGGAACCACCTGTCCAAAAGCTGCATTCTCAGTTTTAAGAATTAGGTGCTGTTTCTTCATGTAGTGATACTGGCTTTATTCCGTCCACACACTTATTCTCATTTGACTTCACAGAAGATGACTCCAACTCTAGCCCACAGCTTTGTGGTCAATATATTTATTGTTTGAAAAATCTATTGCTCTAATTTTATACATAGAGTAATATTTTCATTAGCAATTTTTTACATTGAGCCTTATTGATAAAAATGTGTCTCGTGCTTAGGTTATCCTCTGATGTCCAAAGCCCTGAATGCAACTGGTCGTCCCATGGTTTACTCGTGCAGCTGGCCTGTCTACGTGGGCTCCCTGCCTCCAGAGGTCTGTCTGAGGGCTAAACACGCCCCTTCATTTATTCATAATCATTCCCCAGTGAATGAAACCCATTGCTCTTATTTTTGCTCCAAGGTGAACTACACCCTTCTTGGGAACATCTGTCACCTGTGGAGGAACTACTATGACATCCAGGACTCGTGGGAGAGCGTGAAGTTTATCAAGGACTGGTTCTTCAAGAACCAGGATTATATCCAGCCTGCCGCAGGACCAGGCAGGTGGAATGACCCTGACATGGTAAGCACAAGTTGGTCATCAAATTACATCTTTTGATGTCAAAACAAGAGGTATGTCTTTCACAATGTTTAATAGGATTTCTGCTTTAAAACTGTTCATTATAACTGTCTCTACATTTTTGGAGATGGTATCGTACCCTCTTGATATTTCCATTGAAATAAGCAGGAGACCTTCTAAGAGGTTACTGTATGTATGTAGGTCAATATAAACCAAACTGAAACAAATAGTTTTGACCTAAATGAGTGAATAGAATGAGTGAATAGAATGAGTTCAGAACATGTTTTCCATTGCTTGCAATGTGATCGCGGTACATCACATTTGAACTGATCTGTACCGTTCCAAATAGATAGATACTTTATTGATACCATAGGAGACATTTAGGTGTCCAGTAGAAACAAAAACACATCCATCCATACAAACAAAATGATAATTCTAAAAAGTTAACAATAGTATTAATAAAATGCAACAGCAGCAGAGGTGGAGTAGCCACTGGGTGGAACAGGACAGGTCACAGCAGCAGAGATGTTCATATACGTTCATATATAGTAAATCAGTTCATATATGTTTGTTAGTCCTGTCCTGATGCTTATTTTCCAGAATACATTTTATGTATGCCTCCAGACAATAAGCATAATTTATAACATTCTGGGGACTTAATTGTTCGTCAAAAACAAATATAATATACATTTATTTTTTTGAAAATCTAATAGTTCCCCTGTCTCTGTTCTCAGCTGATTATCGGGAACTTTGGCCTGAGTCTGGACCAGTCCCGGGCTCAGATGGCTCTGTGGTCCATCATGGCGGCTCCTCTCATCATGTCCAACAACCTCAGACAACTCGATGCCTCCACACAGGCGATTCTCCAGAACAAATTGGCCATCATCATCAACCAGGACCCACTGGGCATACAGGGACGGCAACTCCTCACGGTCAGAATTGCACTGCTGGAACTGTTTCTTCAATCAAAAAAAATCAAAAAACGTTAAACGACATGATCAACAGCCAAACTTATTTTCATTACATATTTTTTTTAACTACACTGTGGCTGAGATGTCAGGGATAAGTATTACAAAGGGAAACGTTTCTCTTGCCTTTTCAGGAAAAGAGCAAAATCGAGGTGTACTGGCGCCCTCTGGTGGACTCGAACAGTGCTTTGGCCTTCCTGAGCATGAGGTCGGACATGCCGTATCTTTACCACACGTCCCTCGGAAAACTCGGCTATGACGTGGGAATTTATCAGGTCTGAGCAAACGAGTTTTCATTTCTATTTCTTCTTGCCAGTGTGATTGATCTTGTGTTGTTCAGTATTCAAGACTTCAGTATTGTTTTGCCTATAATCTATCCTCATCCAGAACTTTCCTTAGGCTCGTGGGGCCATAACATAATGTCCCATTGGTAGTTTATAATTCCTATAAATAGCTTTCCACTGACGTCACGCACTACCCTCAATTCCGCAGTTCGCCATTTTGGGAGTCTAGCCGCCGCTAGTTGTAGGTAACCAAATCGGGCCTGCATCGTTTGGGGGTGCAGTAACCGCGTAGATTGTGGGGACATTCCGAAGGCTGTTACTGAGCCAGGGGAGCGATTCGGGACGGAGAAAAGACTCCTTAGTTGGCGAGGATCAACCAGAGGGATTCAACCCTAACCCCCTGGAAAACGGCACTATAAGGTCTGTTCTGACCATTTCATAACAGGTGAGAGCTAGCTAAATCTGTGCATGTGTGGTTTATATTCAGAGCTGCCATTTGACCGTGATACTAAGTCTAAATAGGTGCCTCGAGGCTCCCATCTAAATGAATGAGAGGGGCAGGGGGGGGGAAGTGTAACGCTAGCTAGTGGCTACGCAAGATCTGACTTTGGCTATTAACGGAATAGCAGTGTAGTGAGCAGAAGAAGGTGGATCGGCAAGGAGCCTGAGGTGCACATAAAGACAACTGATATCTACGTGATAAAGAATTGTATTATAATAGTCCAACAGATGAAATATTATTGCACACAAAAAAAAAAACCCATATACCAGATTGCAGGTGTATGGAAAAAAACAGGTTCCACCACAAAGTCTGTAGGTAAAAGTCCAACAAAAAATGCTTGCTACTTGCAAGGCTATTTAAGTTCCGCTCGAGGAGGATGAAAAGAAAAGTAATCCACAACAAGCGTGTAGGAAGCAATAGACAGTTTGTCCTACCGCGTCGTTGTCTAGCTCGCCATTTGTTGAGTCGTGGTGTAGAAAGGCTCAGTTCATTGGGTTAGTCCATCCCATTACAAAAACCTGAACTGAGTAACTTGGGGCAAACACGACACACCATGCATGGCCCGCTACTTAAAAGAACATGGCGGCTCTAATTATGAAGTGTCAATAATGCGCGATTGGAGAGTTTCAGCAAGTCTACTCTCACATGCCGTCTGTCAATGCTGCAGCCACAACGGAGACGGGAGGGGGGAGGAGATGCGCGCAGCTGATAGTTAAAGAGACGGGCGCTTTTGGGGGAAGTTGGCTTACAAAATAAAAGTCTTTAAGACACTAAAGCCGTTTCAGTTAAGCATGTTAATCATGGTAATGAAATGCGGGTCACAGGTTCCCCCCCTATACTCATGTTCGGCCTCGTACATGGAGATGGCTGGCGGCACAACACTCTACCTTGGGGAGTGGTTGTGGATCCAGCCTCCTCAATTTGCAAAGCAGACGCAATGACAGTGTTCAATCCTTGGAACAGACTCTGAATACTACGCATTACCGGATTCCCAAGTCTCGAATATTGCAGCCGATCGGGAGGTTGCCGGGTTCGAGTGGGACGTTGGGGTCGTGGTTCAGAGTCTGGACTGGACACGTCGGATACAGAGGGTGACTCTGGCTCACTGGATATACAGGGGGGTACTAGTGCTTGAGGAGAGCCTGACGTAGAGGAGGTTGGTTCCTCTGGCTGCTCCAAAGCATCAGTATCCCTCTCTGGCACTAGCTCAGGTTCCGGATCAACAGGAATTTCAAGTGCACCCTCCAGATCTGACACCACACCAACAGAATCCTTTTCTGGAGTACTTGGCGACAGCTGGCCAGGCTGTATCACTGGTACCGTGACAGGGACTACTGGAGGCAAAGAAACAGGTAAGTCAATCACATGTGTGAATTTCGCAGGAGGGTAGTCGGTATCTGGTAAGTTAGGTAGATACACATCAGAAAGATCATATTCAGTTTCAGATTGTTGAACTTCGGAGGCACGTGGGGTTGTCGGTTTGGTGGACAACACTGGCTGTTTCGGATTGGTTGGCTTGGAAGCTGTTTGGGCGGTTGACAAATAGCCACAAGGCAGCAGTAAATCGCGATGTAGGGTCCTTAGGGGTCGATCTTTTCCCTCTGGTTTGGCAGTATATACCGGAAGAGTGCCGGCTCTCTTTTCGACAATATATACGTCTGGTTCCCACTTGTCTGCGATCTTGTGCTTGCCTCGGAGCTTGACGTTCCTAACCAAAACTCTATCCCCCACCGACAGTTCGGAAGTAGTGACTCGCTTATCGAATCTAAGCTTGTTTCTCTTCATAACCTTCTCTGCATCAGCAGACGCAATACGGTAGCTTTCTTCGAGATGGGACTTCAGCTTTTCAACATACTGTGAATGGGAAGTAAACTGGTTCCCAGACACAGTGAGGCCAAAGGCCAAGTCAACAGGCAAGCGTGCCTGTCGGCCGAACATTAGTTCATAAGGGGAGTAGCCAGTAACATCATGGCGGGTGCAATTGTAAGCATGCACCAGAGGCTTAACAAAGTCTCGCCAATGAACTTTTTCCTGATCCTGCAGGGTGCCCAACATGTTCAGGAGCGTGCGATTAAATCTCTCCACGGGATTGCCACGGGGGTGGTAAGGAGTGGTTCTACTCTTGTGGATTCCCATTATCTGACAGAGCTCTTTGATGGTATGTGATTCAAAGTCTGGCCCTTGGTCGCTATGGAGTCTTTCCGGTATTCCATAGTGGACCAGGAAGTTGTCCCACAGGGCTTTAGCTACCGTCTTCGCTCTCTGATTGGGAGTTGGGACCGCCACAGCGTACTTGGTGAAATGGTCAGTGATGACAAGTACGTCTTTCGTATTGCTCCGATCTGGTTCGATGGAAAGAAAATCCATACAGACAAGCTCGAGCGGTCTCAAGGTTCTGATGTTTACAAGAGGTGCGGCTCTCTCAGGTAATGTCTTTCTCCGCACGCATCTCTCGCACGCCTTGATCTTATTGTTGACATCAATGGACATCCGTGGCCAGTAAAAGCGTGATCGAACGAGGTCGAGTGTTCTTTCTGTGCCGAGATGGCCCATTTGATCGTGCAGCTGGAAAAGGACCTCTGATCGACACTCCTCTGGAAGGACGAGTTGGTAGGTGGGCTCACCGTTGACATTCCTTTTTCTGACTAGAATGTCGTTTTGAAGCTCCAGACGCGTCAACTCCCTCATGAGCAGTGGCAGATCTGGGAGTTGTTCCCTCAGAGAAGGTGGTGGACTATCTCCTCTTTCCAACTGGACAATGAGGTGCTGAATAATGGGATCTGCCCTCTGTTTGGCCGCAATCTCAGCATTTGAAAAGGAGACCATGACCTGTGAAGAGAACTGCAAATCGTTAACAAAACTGTCTGGCAGACTCTCAACACTAATGGCCAGAGCTTGGACATATGCTGCACTTTGTTGCTTGTCGGGCGTGCTGTACACAAGTTGCCGGTCACATATTGCCTGGACTGATTGCTCATCAATAGAGACACAGGATGGACTGTCTAGATGTTGTTCAGTGAACCTCAGGATCCTCTCTTGCTCCTTTTGGGACAGAGGGTCTTCTGGGAAAGGCGTCTCAGAACCTGAAGGTAGTCCACGGATTGGGACTGGGGCTCTGGGTTTTCCGTTGTGGCTGCAGCACCCGCATCTGAAATCTGTCTGACAGTGACTTCTATGGTTGCAGCACGCGTAGTATAAGGCAATAACGGTTTTAATTTGTCTACGCTTACACTGTCAACAAACTCGACGGCCAGGTTTTTGTAGAAGGGACTCTGCCTGTCAGCTACAGTAACGTACCTTTTGATGTCACCGTACCCTTTCAGAGTATCAACAATGTCTTCCTCTGCTTGAGTATTTGTTACACCACTGACAGCAACTGTATGAGCAACATTCATACCAATTTTTTCAAAGTAATCCATTTCTCAACTCAACAAAAAAATCCAAGGGAATACACACACACAATCTAACAGCTGTACAAATATTACATACACTATCAGACTCCTGGCTAGCTCGCCATTTGTAACGCTAGCTAGTGGCTACGCAAGATCTGACTTTGGCTATTAACGGAATAGCAGTGTAGTGAGCAGAAGAAGGTGGATCGGCAAGGAGCCTGAGGTGCACATAAAGACAACTGATATCTACGTGATAAAGAATTGTATTATAATAGTCCAACAGATGAAATATTATTGCACACAAAAAAAAAACCCATATACCAGATTGCAGGTGTATGGAAAAAAACAGGTTCCACCACAAAGTCTGTAGGTAAAAGTCCAACAAAAAATGCTTGCTACTTGCAAGGCTATTTAAGTTCCGCTCGAGGAGGATGAAAAGAAAAGTAATCCACAACAAGCGTGTAGGAAGCAATAGACAGTTTGTCCTACCGCGTCGTTGTCTAGCTCGCCATTTGTTGAGTCGTGGTGTAGAAAGGCTCAGTTCATTGGGTTAGTCCATCCCATTACAAAAACCTGACCTGAGTAACTTGGGGCAAACACGACACACCATGCATGGCCCGCTACTTAAAAGAACATGGCGGCTCTAATTATGAAGTGTCAATAATGCGCGATTGGAGAGTTTCAGCAAGTCTACTCTCACATGCCGTCTGTCAATGCTGCAGCCACAACGGAGACGGGAGGGGGGAGGAGATGCGCGCAGCTGATAGTTAAAGAGACGGGCGCTTTTGGGGGAAGTTGGCTTACAAAATAAAAGTCTTTAAGACACTAAAGCCGTTTCAGTTAAGCATGTTAATCATGGTAATGAAATGCGGGTCACAGAAGGGTAGTGATTTGCGGCCTGTGATATCAACTGCTTCGTTCAAAATAAAATATTGATTGAAAGAAATATTGCATCGTATACATCATGACGTTTTTTTAATTGTAAAACTGTTAAGTGAAAGTAAGCCATTTCTGGGAAGTCCACTGGTCTCGTCACGCGTTTCATATGGATCCAAATCTCCTGACTCTCAAAGGATCTTGCCTCACAGATGACTCCAGTGTATCAATATACTTAACGCGGTCAGTGTCGGCCGAATTCGTGGCTTTAGATGACATGGGTACAGATGATCCGTGACAAATTATCAGTGACAAATGATACGTGCAATATAAGCTTGACTACCAACATGTCGTTCGCGTAAAGCATCATGGGTAATAAGCACGTGATGGAAAACTATGTATTTGTCCAATGCTTTCTCAGTATTAATCATTGTTTTGCATCTACCTGCGATAGTCCTAATTAAATGAATGGACATAAAACCCTATAATCATGATGTAAAATGGACTTGACTCGCTCATGTTCCCCCACACACAGAGCAGACATTGATTAAATTGTTTCCCTCCGGTCTTGATGCTATTGCTGATCCTGTGTTTTTGTATTAATGTTTGAATCTCAGGTCCACGATGTTTTTGGTGGATCCAAACCAAAGACCCTGAACTCCACAGAAGTATTCACTGTGTCCATTAACCCGTCCGGAGTGGTCATGTGGTACCTGGCTCCAGCCAATCGAAGGGCAGGAGTGAACCAGGCTTTGATCCAGTTCAGGTCCAGATCGCGCATGAGGTTATGAAGAATATCTAAATCAACCCTGGCTTTCCTTTCGAATCTGGTTTTGAGAGTAGATGTTTGAAGAGATGTTTTACTTTGTTGCACTCTGAATAAAGTGCAACTCTTAATAAAGTGCAACAATTTGTTAATACAATATAAATGGGGCTCACAAGTTGGTGTCTGTGATTTATGTTGCACTATGCGTACAAAGTGTTGAGTGCATCTGCCATCATATATTTTGAATAATTAAAACTTCTTCCCTAACCCACTTATGTAAATCACAGTTTTAGCTACAACCCCACTTCACTTCCTGTTCGCGGGAAACGGCTTGAGTTTCACTGGAGTTCAGCAGTGGTTTACACGAGTTTCCCGAATAATGCTCAAACGGGAATAAAACTGTGAGGATACTGGCCATTTTTGGGACACAGCAGTGCTCTTTGATTGTGCTGTCATTGTGTTTTTATAAAGTTAACTAATCGCTCTGAGTGGCCACAGTCGAAGCTCTACCTCAGAGAGAAAGCACAGCGACACTTTTGGGTCAGTCTCACAGCTGAATGTATCGATCTAATTACTAAATAACGTCACTAAAACCCACCTAAAAGCCATAGGATAGCATAGGCAGGAAGTGGACGGGCTGTGCTTTGTTAAGAGGAAATGACGTCACGCCTCCCCGTGCATATAGCCCATTGGAATATTTAGTTTAGTTTTGGCCAAATATACTCCACCTTTGAATTTTACACGTTATTCTATTACATTGTGTGGAAGAACATGAAAACATATAAAGAGTATACTTATATACTATTTTATCAACTTAAATCTTATATAAGTACATGCAGATTTCAGCTGAGGGTTGCCATACGTTGATGAGACTCTTGTGATGGAGAATATAATACAATTACAATTTGTGGATACATTTGGATGGTATGTTGTTTCTTGTATAAACTTTGAAGTCTTTGTAATTTTTGTAATTAAATGAATGCTTGAATTACATAAACTATAGGTCAGATGATGTGGACATGCTTTACTGTTTTAGTCTGTTATTGTCACTCACGTCAAATCTGAATTTGTGTTTGTACCTTACAGTTATGTGTACTTCATTCTGATGGACAGACAGTGAACATGTTTTGTCTGTTTCAACAAATTGAAACGGTGTGCTTTTTCTTTGCTAAATAAATTTAATCAATAGATAATTATTCAAAAGAAATGTCATGTTGTATATTATGTAACATCCATGCAGGAAAATACTATAAGGCCCGTTTCCACGGGCCAACTCGACTCGACTCTCCCTGGTATGCGGGCGTTTCCACCGGCTCGCTTTAGCCGCTACCTAGTACCATAGACTGTACTGGCCCTGGTTCTAGCCGGGCCGAGTAAATCCCAAAACAATCTGACGTCTGCAAACGTCAATAGTGCTTGGTCAGAGGCGCTGTCAATCACTCTTCAGCTGCTGCTAAAACCATGACAAACAACACCTCAAGTTTCCAGCTGAAAACTAGAAAGACGTCCGAACGTAAAACTTTTCTGCTATAACTGCCACATGATTGGTTTTTTTCTTAGTTTTAAAAGTCTGAGTGATTTGCCTGGCATACATGACAAGCGCTAGCTTCCCCTAACAAACTAGCAAGTAGCAAAACTTGACTGCTTCTGCATTACATAACCCTGGCTTTTTATACGACCCCTTTTCCTCAACTGATGTTCTCTTCTTTGCCACAACAGGGTGAGTGGGTGTTAAACGTGAAATTGGCATGTTGGGGGTTTTCGGTTCAGCCCTTGTAGGTGTTTTAGAAAATCCAACTCAATAACAACTCAGGATGAATGCTTTCCATTGGTTTCCTCCAAAAATGTAATGATTTATTTTTTTGAGGCTACAGGCACAGTGACATTATTAATTCACTCCATAGTGTTGATAAATGACTACTGTAGCCACAGCTGTCCTGGGGCAGACTGACATAAGTGAGGTGACCAGTCTGTGCTCCTCCGACCACCACTAATCATTCGTGATTAGCACAATCATCTTGATTAATAAATATTAATTTAGCAGGCTCCTTCTGGCATAGAGCCTCCTCCTTTGTAACGATATTATGTTTAAGAATGTGATTCTCGTCAGATTCCAATCTTTGATGCGACCTTCTAATCTGGACTCTCACAATGGACATTTTTTAATACATACATTATATAAATTCACTCAACCAGCATATTGTATAGTTTCTACTGCTAAACTCAAGCAAGTGTTTTGCATCAGTAATCAATGCTTAATCGTGTGTCACATTACAGACTGTAAGAGACTGCATTGTCATTACTGTGTCTTCATTAGACCACAAAGAGTGTATATTACATATGGTCCCTTTAAGTTTATATACAGTAAAAATCAAGCTTGTACTGACCCAAACTGTCCACAACAGGGCACTGAGTGCTCAACAATGACCATGAGTCTCACTTTTAGTGGTGAAGGCCCTGGGAATTTTGACATGATAGAACTGAACAGTGAATCCTACATTAACTGTTTGTGAACTCTGTTCCTAAAAGGAATAATAATCAGAGAACACCCAGTACACATAGCACCAGCCCTTCACCAGGTGGTGAGTCCACAGGAGCCTTGATCTTTCAGCGGGGGTTTCAGGCAAAGTGGGGTTAAGTGTCTTGCCCAAGGACACAATGACAGCAGTCATCAGTGGGAGTTCTGAAGTAGGTCTTGTGGTGGGCTTGAACCCAAGACCTTCAGGCTCAAAGGCCAATGCTCTACCAACTGAGCCACTGTCGCCCATATAGACCCTAACTTAGGGTTTTTTTCTTCCACTTTTAATCACTGTAGCGGGTCATTTTGACCCAAGGACAGTGTTATACCTTTTCTGAACTAGTTAAGTTCAGTTCATACATGCTCAAAGTGAACAGTTCACGTTCAAAGTTCACATTTTTAATTATGAACTACTTCAAAGTTTAGTTCATTTGGCTCCTATACATGTTATTCTTTGGATCACTCTGTAGGGGGCACTAACGCTGCATTTTCATGTTTTCATTCTTAGCTGACCAAGATCCAAGAGCTGAACAATCAACTCACATTTGGTGCTAATCAAACATTGTATGAGTAAACAGAAGCAAATTAAATTGTCAAATTTGCGGAAAAAAGTTTAAATTTGCGGCTCCGCTGCTTGCCCACCCTTTAGCTGCATTTAAAAGGTACAGTTTTCACATCCAAGTGCTAACTTACTCAAATGTGGTGCAAATCAAACTTGATTGGAGTAATCAGGAGCAAATTTGAATTGTTTTTTTTTTTCAAATTTGACAAAGTCAAAATTTGCTGCTTTGTTTCTTGCACACCATAGCTTTTGATGCAACATGTGTGTAGAGTAGATAATATGGGCGTTCGGTTTGCCGGGTTGAGGTTTGTTTGAGAGATGGATACTGGATTGAAACTTGGGCATTATGGTGTTTCAGTTGATCCACGTGGGGGCTCAGTGGTCCGTCTCCAGATCAAACTCCCTTCCAAGCAAGTAGTATCTTCAGGGCCCACTTGATGGCCAGTCCTTCCTTTTCTACTACAGCATAGCGGGATTCTCTGGGCAACATGTGACATGTTAGTCCCATATGAACCGGCCTGGACTCTGAGGAGCAGGAACGGGACTCCTGCCAGTGCCCAGAGTCAGAACTAAACGTGGGGAGGCTGCATTTCAGATTAATGCAGCGAACATATGAAACAATCTTCCTAAAAATGTGAGACAGGCCTCTTCTCTGACAATGTTTGAAACCAGGTTAAAAACTGTTTAGCTGTGCATACAACTGGGGGATTTTATATTTGTATCTTTCTTTCTAATATACTGTGATTATTTATTATTTTAATGTTATCTTGATTTGTTCAGCACTTTGAGTTGCCTTGTGTATGAATTGTGCTATACAAATAAACCTGCCTTGCCTTGCCTTAATTGCACACGGAATCGACAGTTGAAATCTGGACTGCGGAGAACAGGAGAAGAACAGATCAGAATCTTTAAAACAATCTTACTTCTTTCTCACTTCTTCACATTCTTCTGTCCATGTCACAGGGTTTTTCTTAGCTTTGTTAAAGCTGTTAGTGGCGCTGCGATTGTGGCAAATTGCGGAACAAACCTCCGATACCATCCAGCAAGGCCCATAAAGGATAGCCTCCTTCTTGGTTCGCGAACGAGGACAGTTGAACGATAGCTTCAACTTTATCCAACTGCGGTCACACCTCTCCTCTTCTGAGCTGGTAACCCAGGTACCGGCCACGTTTAGGGTCGAACATGGCCGGTACAGGGCCTTTCTGAGTGGGGTTTGCATGTTCTCCCTGTGTCTGCGTAGGTTTCCTCCGGGTGCTCCAGTTTCCCCTACCGCTAAAAATATGCTCACTAGGTTAAATCTTCCAGCTCCGGTAGTCCTGACCAAGCCGAGCATCACCATCTGGAAATGGGTTCCCGGGCGCTGTTCTACGGCGACCACTGCTCCTGACATAAGCCTTAGTGGCATCAGGATGGGTCAAATGCAGAGGACAAATTTCCCTACGGGGACAATATAGTGCACATTTACATTTAAAACCAGCTGACATACATTTTTTTACCCGGTTTGGCTGAAGATAATGATGTCATCCAGGTATGCAGCACAGATACATTTTAAAGTTATACCTCAATGAAAATAGGTATTAACCAAACATGTATGAATCACTCCTAAAACATTATTGAGTAAACAAGAAAAGACATGACATGGTTAAAAGTTTATTCAACAACTTTGTACAAACCCTGGAATCGGTCATTTGATCTCACCAAGAGCAGAGTATCCAGATTAAATTATTGTTCTTTGAAATAGCATTAAGAGGTCGCGCTCTTCTATGGTTTTCATTATGTTGACCTGTCAGTCCCAGAGCAGTGGACAAGGATGAGGGAAGTTCCTTTGCACTTGGATCTGAGATGGGAAGTCTGATTTTCCAGCTTGATCCAAAAACAAGATCAATGTGTAGCCTGGTCGTACCACACCATAGTACAAATTACATTTCGTACAAAGGTCTGGATGTGCTCCATTGAGCTCCGTTAACAGGTGGGAGGGGTTAACTTTTTTACCGTCACAAATGTTATGCGCCTGAGTGAGTCATTAGCATTTAGCCTAGCCATCGGGAGTAGCGCCACAATTTTTGCCAGCGATTACATTTGCTAAACATTCCTCTTGCTCCGGCTTCAATTTCTTGATAGAACCAGACCGGATTACTTTACTAAGGTCAGGCTAATTCATGCGTCAATTCAGTTACATATTGCATCATTAACAAGCGGTGCATGATCCCCACAGAGTGCAGCGCTTGAGGGCCTCTTCCAGAGGCGGTTGTTTCCAGAAAAGTGGCCTGTCCTGATCACATGGGCCAGCGCTCAGACGCGGATCACGGCCGCTAGCTCTCTGTTCATGGGAAACTGTGTTCCCAGTCTTGGAGCGGCTTTGGCCTGGTCTGTGATCATGCATCTGCCGTGAGTTGCCACACAGACATGAGGACCAGGAGGAGTATTCTGAAGAGTAAGGGCACAGGTGGCACCTGCTGCGCACTCAGCCAGTCCATCACATTCACAGTGGCTCCTGTGCAGAGGACACAGGTGACTGGGACATTTGGAGTGAATGATTTAACCACAATTTATAGACACAGTGAATGTTTGTATGCCGTGATTTTGCCTAAACCGGTAGGGCAGAAGCAAGGGACTCACTAAATAAAAACTTGACATTTCAACCCGGACTGCAGGTTTTATCTGCGAGGAGAGCCAAACCGACAGCTATGACAACTTTAGACCACCTTTGAGCGGAGGACGCATATAACCTATTTATAACTGCTAGTTTTATCTATAACACAGGCCTGGCCTACAGCCTTGCTCACTAAGGCAAAGATTATTTCTCAAAGCATCACACGTAACAGGAAATGTTAGAGGGATCCTTTGGAAAACGAGAGATGGGACAAACAAAGTAAATAGACTCCTTATAAGGTTTTAATCATAATAAAACATTAAGAAGGCATAGCATTTCTTCTTTAAAGCCATTCTGTGCTTGAAAATATTTTTAAAATATATGTTCTTGCCAAAATCAGAATGTGGATGCATTTATTTATTATAGAGGGCGTTACAATCATTATGTGACAAAATACATGTGCAAGTAATTAAGCTTGATCAGAATCCATACATTTGTTTTTAGGTGATAAAATAACAATAGAGGAAAACACTATGAATGTGCTTAATATTGATCTCCGAGTCCGCTGGTGTCTCACAGCTGAATTCATTGCTAAAGAAATGAGGGACCAGCTCAGCTGGCCTATGCTCCATCTTGTCGTGATTATGTTTTGGCCAATCTCTTTCTGTCTCATGTACATTTACACAAGCTCTTCCTTTGCCTTTATCAAACGCACATGTACCGCTCTGTCCAGGAGGCACATGTTTAATCAGATGAGTGTCTGTAAGAGGGAAGCGCCTGGGGAGGGACACACCTGTGCTCAGCACCAGCCGCTGCAGCTGAACACTCTGTAAACGCAGCCACATGTTGGACACAGGATCCCTGCCAGTCATGCTCACATGTCAGCTACACTAATATTGATTTGTTAGGACCAGAGGTTCAGACTAACAAAACTAAAGGATTTTTTTGGTACTTGTTTTTTTTTTTTTTTTTTTTTTTACGAAGGCAAATCTAGTTGTTTTTGCGTTGTTCCCTCATTAAAAACATATCTCTCATGTTTGAATTGCCCATAGAAACATGTGCCCTCCAGCTCCATGTTGAGGCTGGTTTTTTTGTCTTTATCGTTAGTAGCTTTACAGTCAAATGCTAACATTTGAAAGCCCTGCAGTACAGTAAACATCTTCGCTCTCAGTCTATGACCATAAGATGACATTGAAGTTTGAAATAAATGTTTGCTTTTACTAAAACATGAAATTCCATGGCATCTACTGTCCAAGACCATGGACTTTATGAGTGACCATGTTATGTCTTCCTCATAGCCTATTTAAAAAATAAAACAAAAAATAATATACATTCAAGTTCAACAGAAGGATTTGGATCGGAATGATGCTTACCGAGTCACTGAGACTCTTTGTGCTTTGCCACTGGATCTGGAGGTACGTAAAACCAAAGCACTTAGACAAATCCTATACAGAGATGATCCAAACTCTGCTCCATTTGTCCCAATATTATTTCCCTGATTTTACTGTCCAAGAAATAAGAAGTCTGACTGACAGGTAATGTCAGCATGTCAAAGTATTTTGTTGTAACTTCAGACCAAGTTACAAAGTTTTTTGTAGCTTGTTTTTGAAGTTACAAAAAAAACAAACCTAAAAAACTGTTGAACGTTGGTGGATAGTAAGAACGTAAAATACAGGTCATTCGAGGACTAGAGGTGAAAAATAACTTTCTGCCTTATTCTAACTTATTCTGCCTTTTTAAACTTATTTTTAATCATGTGTTATTTTTTGCAATGTCCAGTTTAAAATATAATATACCAAGAAAATGTTTGGTTGTTGTTAGTCAGGCCTAAAATGTGAAACTGTATGTTACCCACTGTTACGACCCGAAGGACAAAACTTATTTTAAGGAGACAGAGACAGGTTTAGAGTAAAAAAAAAAAGTTCTTTTAACTGAACTCTAGTTTTTTATTATTAATTAATATAAAGATTAAATCAACCCAACCCCGTGTCCAGAATACAAGAACCTAAAGTAATCAAATTAAAGGTGGACCTGGTGGGCCAGCCAAAACAAACAAAATGGGCCGACACCGAACCAACCTTATACAGGGCCTTCCGGATCCGATGCCGGCACCCTAACTAAAGAATAAACAAAACCCAACTAGCTACACCCTCAAACGAAAATGTAACCACCGGACCCACCAGATCAAACAAAAATAAGGACAAGGAAAAAATTCTAACCAAATGGCCAAAGAAACAATCAAACCATGCGGCGTCTGGGGAGGCCGCAGACCTGGATCAAGAGAGAGCGCGCAGCGCGTGCACGCTCACCTCAGCAGGAAAGACTGAGAGCAGAGAGAGGGGCGGGAGCGCACCAGGACAGCGCTTCTTATACTCCCGACCCGAGCTGCAAAATATAGGAAATAAGTTACAAAAACGTTATCAAAAATGCAACATATAAAATATACTTATACAAAAAACAATCTTACAAAAAAAACTATAAAACCCAAAAATACCTGGACCAAAAGAAGATAAGACCTAAAACCAAAGGGGGGGGAAAGGTGCCCAAACATAACACCCACAAATATAAACTACAGAGTTGTACATTTGAGCAGCTGTCCCTCAGAAAACCGCGCTGAACCATCCGTGACAATCTCTTTCTTGTTTTGCTGTGTCAAATGTTGTGCAACCCCGGTGTTATGAAACGAGCTGTCCCCAGAGCATTCACTGACCTGTTTCTGGAGCCCACTTCAGCCAAACACAATCTGAGTTTAATCCAAGTGTTTCTCAAACAAGAAAACACAAATCGCTGACAATGGGTTTGATCGTCCAATCATCTGACAATTTCCAAAGTCAAATACATAAATTACTTCCATATTCATGAATACTGTAATTGTGGCTATTTCCTTATATTTTCTTACAGGAAACTACCAATAAAAACCACAAAAGGACCTTTTTCTATTAGTGACAGTATTGAGGATGAAAGCATGACATAATCAACAACAGTTAAGAAGTATTTCAAGGTCTGGGAGTGGCGTAAAGTCTTCATACCTCCACCCAAAAGAAGATCTGTGGAGGGAGATGTACAGCAACATGGCTTTATTTCTAAAAAGTCCATCATCTGCTTGCCTGAAGGCGGTGGTATCGCCAGGAATTTTCAATAAAATTGTCTATTCTTAAATCCGGTGATTTGTATTGTCAAAAACTGTCATTTTACATATCTCCCAATGGTTAGGGCCTAACCCCTTCACTTTAGCCCTGCACTAATGAGCTACCCATAGTGACTGTTTAGTGCAGTCTACATGAAGGTATGATGAAGATGATGAATATCTCAGGCACAAAGATTGGAAACGATCCATATGTCCATAATTTATAGATGGTTCTTTCATCTGCAGGAATGGTCCTAAATACCTACAAAGTTGAGTTGTTGCAGAGCGCATGCAGGACAGTAGTAAGAGCACACAATGATTACACAGAATATACAGAGATAAAAGTATTTGCGCCTCACACACTTGGACCAGAATAAAACGAGAAAATAACGATGAAATAAAAAAATAACGATAAAATAAAAGAACAGCCACATTATGGACCCGTTTAGCAATTTAAAAAGCAATTCGCAAAAACAACATCCTCCTCAGGCCACCGCAAAGACGCGAAAGAATGCACCAACATCATTCTGCCTTTAATAGCAACTGCAATAATGGAAACTGAAACTACAGCTTTGCGTGATTTTGTTTGGACGGGCGAAGGAGTTTACGTTTGTTCACGGCTACTGCGTATGGAAGTGGTGAGGTCATTACAGCAGAGAAAAGCCAAACCCAATACCTTCTTTAACCCAATGTTTGTTGGAATACATGCTTCCATCCTGCAAAACACATGTCGTTCTGCACCCTGCATCACAGACATTTACAACATAAATTAGACCTTCTGTGTAGAGATTATTTGTGCTGATTGGATTGAAGCGACGTAGATGGTTGTTACCGGTGTTTTCACTAAAGCCTCAAATGTCTTCTTTAAGTTACAAAATTGAGTATTACAACCGTGTCCAAGCCCGCCCTTGGACATCACTAAACCTTGCTTATTTTTGGCTAAGAATAACAACATTTTTGCTTTGCTATTTTACATCTTCAGCCTATGACCTTTTTGTGAAAACACAGATTTGGCGTTTGCCTCTCGGTTGTCACCTCTGAAGCAGACAGGATGAACAGGACTATGTTTCACTGTGTTACCAAAAGTGTAAATTTACAAGGTGTTGAGTTACCGCCGTGAAACTTACACCCAAACAGAGTACTGGACTCAAGAATATAAATCTGTCACCACTGCACGCTGGATGGAATATGTGCATTCTTCACGTGAGAAGTTATAAGTTCAGTTAATTGTCCCCAAAAGGCCATGAGCAAGCAAAAGATGTGTGTGACTCAGCTTATTTCTGCTGCGCCTCTCTAAATGATAACATTACAAAGAAGACAAACTTAACCCAGAATACAATCCAGAGGCGTGGATACAAACTACCTACTACTATAATTGATCAAAAATTGGATGATAATTTACACTACATAAATTCTGGAACAAGTACAACGTTTCAAGCACATTTATTTTAACTGTGAAGTTGGTTCAGCATCTGTTGCTGTTGTTTCTGGTTTTAGCTTGGCCTCGGTCTGGACTGTTTTGTTTCGTGCGGTTTGGACGATGAAACAAAGCGCTGTAAAGTTTTACTTTTTCAAACAGGCACAGTGGGACAGCCCAGGGCTTTACTGTGGTCAAACTCAAGTGTCTGAAATTCTCCCAAATCAAAATCACTTTGGGAAATTCGTGCCTCTTTTTGGCAGTTACATAAGAGATGGTTGTGTGATCTTGAGGAGGATGATCATCAAACCAAACTGTGGATTTGAGCTTTCACAAGGCGAGGTAAACTGGAGTCCACACAAAGATGAGATTAGATTGAGACTCAAGTAAATAATAGTTTAATGACCGTCCAGAGATATGTACATATGGAGACTGAAACGTCAAAGAATATCAATGATCACTGTCGCCTATCAGCAAAAACAGTCCTGAGTTCAACTCCCAGAAAATATTAGAATATATAATATTCTCTCGGGTTATTTACAGCAGAAGCTATACTATACACTGTCCTAGTGGAGTGGTGTTATTGCCAGGAATTTTCAATAAAATAGTCTATTCTTAAATCCGGTGATTTGCATTGCCAAAAAAAGTCAACTGTCCCCAATGGTTAGGGCCTAATTCCTTCACTTTAGTCCTGAACTAATGACCCCCCCGGAGTGACTGGTTAGTGCAGTCTACATGAAGGTATGATGAAGATGATGAAGATCTTAGGCACAAAGATTGGAAATGACCAACATACTACCAGCTCAAGCCAAGGAAAGTGGATAGTTGTTTATTGTTTAAACACAATCTCAGGTCACCAGTGCATTATCATTCATCGTTCATACAAAGGTCCAGTTACGCACTTTCTGTTGTTTTTCCAACTCTTGCAATGCTGCATTGCATTTTGAAGTGTTGACCTAAGTGTTGTCCTATCATTGTGAAGCAATGATAGGAAGAGCCGACATCGAAGGATCAAAAAGCTTTTAGAGATACTCACATTGAATTATGGGTCAAACTTAAACAAGACCAACAATATTTCAGTATAATATGTCTCCAGATGACTATCGCATCTCGTTGTGATATTAGAGTAGAAGTTGTTCAGACTCATGTGGACATTGTATTTCTTGCAGCGTTGTAGTTTAATTGCGTGATCAATAAAACTCTTGGTAAACAGGACCAGAATAAGGGCTTGTGTGCTGATGTCAAAACCAGAGGATCCTAACACCACAGGAATTTGTCCAACATGTGTTCTCTGCAGTTTCCACGGGCACAAGCAGTGTTTTTCTATA